TAAAGCCCCTTCTTAGGAAGGCATCACGATTCTGGATAACACAGCCATGTGCTTTCCCTCCTCTGTCTCCCTCCACCCTCCGCCGGTGACACTGGTAGCTTGGGGACATCTCCATGCTCTGAGCAGTACTGGGAGGTTGCGGGTGAGAACGCCATGGGCACCTGCAGCTGCCTCGGGGTGTCCTTGGGTACCAGCGTGGACAGCGTTAGGCTATTCCAAAGCCCGGTGTGTGTGGCTTCCACAGCTATTCGTTTTTAATTTAAGACTATTTAAAATTTGAGGACCCCTCTACTGCTAATTTGTTATGGCAATATTAATTAACAGTTTTGCTTTATAGCAGTTAGGATGCTGCTTCTGTTGAGTAAGATAGATTAGCAGGAGTATGAGATTAGAAACACAATCTGTAAAGTGGCCAGAGGCAGCTGGGGGTCACCTTGGCGTTTGGGAGAAGGACAGCGTGTTTGTGCAAACATCCCATTAGCGTCCCGCAGAGCAGCTGCTGAGAAAGCAGAGGACTTCGTCCCCCGGTCTAATTCTGCGGCTAATTCTGGGGGCAGATTCCGTGAAATGGGATCGTGTACGGGAGCTCTGATCCAAATTTACTATAAAATGCTGCAACTTTAAAAAAATTGTTCATTTCCATCTTGTTATCAATTCCCATGGTTTCTCCCTGTCCTGGCAGTAATAGCTACATGAACAGGGGACAGAGCAGGATGTGGGTCAGGCAAGCTGGGCTTGTGACAAATGGCCGGGACCGAAGCCTTGGGCGTGGGTTCCCTAAAAAAACCTCAAAAGGCTTCGTGGAAGCAACTAACCTTTATGACCAGTTTTGTTTTGTTTTTTAATTTTATTTTTGGTTTGCTTTTTGGTGAGGAAGATTGGCCCTGAGCTAACATCTGTTGCCAATCTTCCTCCTTTTTTTTCTTTTTTTCTCCCCAAAGCCCCAGGACATAGTTGTGTATCCCAGTTGCAGGTCATTCTAGTTCTTCTATGTGGGATCCCGCCACAGCATGGCTTGATGAGTGGTGTGTAGGTCTGTGCCCAGGATCCGAACCTGTGAACTCCAGGTCACCAAAGTGGAGTGTCTGAACTTAACTGTCATGCCCCCGGGCCAAGCCCCATAGCCAGTCTTTAAATGTGTTCCCTCTTACTCTGGGGGAAAAAACTGTTTTAATTGCTTTGACTAAATCTTTGAGACACTATTAATACCACTGCAGCCTGACATGCAAATTAAAAAAATAAATTAATAAAAAATAAAGGGGACCTTTAAGGTAAAAGAGCAACTTAGTGAACTTGTTTGTTCTCAAATGGGGGGCCGGGGTCCACGAGAGACCCCCCTTTCCAGAGTTAGTATGACTTTTACTCACTTTCTTTACTCCCGTCACAATGAATGTTCTTCTCTTCTCTGACCAGTTTCCATGGAAAGGAAGTGCTGAGATATAGGCCTCTCTGGTTGAATTGAGTGCTTTTATGAATTCAACTCTTTTCATGCAAGGGGTGGGAGGTGAACACTGAAGAGAGATGCAGATTTTGTGATTTCATCTATTTTTCTTTCTACCGTGATGTTTCCAGGTAATGAGTATTCATATTCTGATACCGTCTCATGATGACTTCCAAGGATCTTGGTAACCCAGGAGTCCTGTACCAGGAGGATGCCCCAGCCATAGACCAGGAAAACATGAGGATTTGGGCTGCCTCCTGGTCAGCCTCGTTATCCTCATCTGATAACTTGTCACTGACATTTGCGGAGTGCCCAGCCTGTGTGTCTCTGTGTGAGCCTTACACACCCACTCGTTCAGGTCTTTAAAGAATTTAACAAAGTCTCGGTCTCAGCACTCTGGCTAAGAGACCTTAAGTCAGATCTCATGAAATTGAAGGAAAGTAGCTGGTCTGGTCCTGAGAAACACCCCTGGGTACAGGAAACGGTGAAAATTAGATCCTGGAGAAATCAACACCAGCAGTTTTAATCTTTATTGAGCATATTACTCTTCAGAACCTACTCTTTCAGAATCGACACTGGAAGCAATTCTCCACCGCTTTACCTTTACTGTTGGAAAGTGACTTGCTCCCTGCAGTCTTCCCCAGAAGGGCTGACTCAGAATTGTCTTAAGGACAGAGTGAGCACCAGCGGGCTGAGACCCCGCTCTGCAGGGTGAAGCCAAGAGCGGCCCCGAGATGGGGTTCCGAGTGGCACAGGTCACCTGATGGTGCGGCTCTCTGACGCACCTGCACGGGTCAGAAATGCAGCTCCAGGTCCTCACCTGTGCACCTGCTAGATTTCTTGCAGCAAGATCCACAGCGGCATTTGAAACACACTCCCCGAATGACTCGTGCACTGTCACAATTGAAGTTTTTCTCACTGAATATTACGTAGATAGGGCACCCCCACTAGGGAGGGTCCTGAAGCTCATTCACACGGACCAAGCCTTTGGTTCAAAGCATTAGACACAGACACCATCCCTTAGTTTGCTTCTGAGAACCAGACTCCTGGTTTATCGTCCTGCACACGGAGGACGGCTCTGTGTAGGGCAGAACCCAGACTTTGGGCAGAGAAGGTTAGCGTGGTCAGTACCCAAGTTCCAGAGATCGCGTTGCCCTGGCAGCCAGTGCTGATGCCATATTCCCCAGTGGACTTGAGCAGGGTCCTCTTGGCTCGGCAGTGGAGGGGGGACCGCATTTTCTGGGAGCCTAGCTGGGGTTCTTGGAACCCTGGCCAGGGCCCGGGGGTGCCTGGTGCAGGATAGGGAAAGGCCAGGCCTCGGGGGACTTAGAGCTCCAGACCAGTGCCAGCAGGATGAGCGTCTACATGGGCAAGAGGAACGCTGTGTAGACGGCACTGGGCACGGCAAGAAAGCAGAGCAGCATTGACAGAGCTTCTTGGAATCTGCCTTTTAAAGATCAGTCCCTGAATCCAGACCAGGATTCGAATTTAATAGGGCCGCTGATGGCACCCGGTCCTGAGTCCCCCGACCCACTCAGCCCCATCAGCCCCGGGTGCAGGGCGAGGGGACCGGGTAATGAGCCTCGGGGACGCAGTGCCTGGCATGATGGATGGCGCACAGCCCTCACGCCGCTCCTCGCCCTCCATCATCTGGTCGGGGTGGTTAGCGGACTGTCAGAGAAAAATAATTTAGCGGAGTGGCTTTAACTGATGTGCTGCCTTCTGGGGTCAAACGACTGTTACAAAGCACTCGAGCCGCCTGGTCCTGCATCCGGGGGCTCAGGGCTGACGACAGGAGAGAAAAGGGGGCTGGCCTAGGCTGGATGACATCCTCCAGCTTTCGCGTGGGGTGGGGTGAGAGGGCGTGGGAAGAGGAGAGCCGTGTTTCCTACCAACCAGGAAAACGCCGGCCGTGGGGGGTGGCTCCTGAAGCCTCAGGCTGGACTCTGAGAGGGACACACCGTGGCCACCATGGGGGGACCCGCTCCGGGACAGCGGCGAGAAGACAGGTGACGTCGAGGCCTGGCAGCCTGGGCACTCATCCGGGCTGCGGGGCACAGTGGAGGGTTTAGGTTATGGATAACGAAGAAGCAGGATAGGGAGGAAAAAGAGGGGAAACGGGAGCAGATGGAGGCTTGGAAGAGGGAAGTACGGTTCCCTGACTTCCGGCCGGGAGGGTCTCGAGGACTTAGAGCTATCTGAGCTTTGCTGCAAACATCAATTTTCCTTGGATTGTGTGTTATTCGAGGGTGGGTTGAAAGGCAAGACGGACGAGCTTATCGTCTAAACCCCTCCAACCCACTCCGTAGATTTTTCATTGAATATTTGAAAATAAATGAGGGAATTAGGGGCAGACACAGCAGGAGAAACAGCCGTCCCCCTGACTGGGGCTCCTTGTTAAGCAGGATCCCTCTCTCCCTTGACCAAACCGTGAGGGGCAGACCACGCTCTCCCTTGCCAGTTGTCCCTGCTGAGACATTCATTGAATGAATGAATGAATGCATGCATGCTTGCTCCTAGCTGTGACTCAGCAGCAGGGGTCTGTCCACACCATTTTGCTGGGTCGCTGTGGGGTGTTCCGTGTGCTACCTGAGGCCCGGGCGGCACCCTGTGTTCTTCAGCAGACCCGCCACCTCTCCGGGCCATGGCAGACTCTCTCCTGGGTGCTGTGAGGACCAAGCCGTGGCAGCAACAGCTGACGAGTCCTGGGTCCTCATCCTGCATCCCGCTCCCCTCCCGCCTCCTATGTAGAGCGTTTCCTTCCACCATTGGCACCAAAAGTGCAGAAGGATAATTTCTTGAATCTAATACACTAGCGATGCCCATGAATAACTCTCAGAAAGGTAAGAGAAAGGATAATTTTCACAAATAAGCCGTTACCAGACACACAAGGATGAGGTGGTTTTAAAAGGGTGTGAGAATAGGTCCTGACACGTGGGCGGGGCTGCAGAAACGTCCCTCGAAGGAACGAGGGTGAACTAGTGTCAGAGGCACCGGTCCCTCTGGCTCCCTCGGGCAACCCCCCCAGACACGCCACCCGCCCCGCCTCCCATGGGAATCACTGGATGAAACGATTCACATTCATCTGCTCTCTCCGGGCTCCCCAGCTGGAAACTCAACCCGAACCACGACCCAACACACGCATTTCACCTTGCGCTCCTTTCCCGCGGCTGCAGCCGGCACAGCCACCAGGTGGCCTAAGGGCCTGGCAAACTCGAGTCCTGGGGCGCCATCCTCCCTCCATAGACCGCTGCCCCGCCCCGCCCGCTCCTGCCCCGAGTCCGGCGGCGTCCTCGCCTCATCACCCGGTCCCTTAGCGCTCCCTTTACCTCGGCCAAGTGCGAGAGTGGCCTTCTGTCTGTACCTTCCCACGCCTCTCTCTCCAAAGGCTCGAGAGCCACTCCTAGGGAGGCTGGGAGCGGGGCCTTTGGTGGGAGGGCGAGGGCCGCTCCCCACCCACCGTGGTTGGAGCGGAGGGGTCCGCCCGCCGCCCCGTCACGCCCACGCCTCCGCGCATCCCGGAGAAGCCACCTGCGGGCGGCTACCTGCGAATTCTCACCTGCAGCAGGAGGCGGCTCCCGCTCCTGCTGGGGACGTGGCCGGGCAGCCGGATGTCGAAGAGGGCCTGGAGCGCCGCCTGCGCCGCCTGTCCCTTGGCCAGCTTCTTGCTGCGACCCGAGCCTTCGAACGTCCTCCCGTCCACGCGCACGGCCATCACGAAGCGCTTGGCGCGCTGCCGCTCGGCCGGCTCGGCGAGGCACACGTAGTGCAGGCCGGCGCGCAGCTCGTTCAGCAGCACCACCGGGTTGCTCTCGCCCGGGCGCGCCAGGTCCAGCGTGCGGCACAGCAGCCGCCCCCGCCGGCAGGCCGCGGGCAGCAGCTCGGCGTCGGCGGCGCGGCGGCCCGGGCAGCCCTCGCGGGGCGCCGCCGGCTCGAACTCCTTGAAGAGCGTGTCGGGGAAGTCGGCCTGGTCGGAGGTGAAGTCCGTGCAGGGCCCGGCGCCGCCGCCCATGGCCAGGTGGGCCTGGCAGGCATTGGGGAACTGCACGAAGGACCGCAGGGCCAGCTCGGCCGCGCGCATCTTGGCCTTCTTCTTGGTGGGCCCCGTGCCCTCGAACGTGAGCCCGTTCACCTCCACGGCCACGGCGAAGACGGGCGCGTGCACCGGGCCGGTCTGGGACACCATCCGGTACTGCAGGCCCGGCCGCAGCTCGTGCAGCTGGACCAGCGCGTTCTTGGGCGTCACCGACCACGACAGCTTCTTCCAGATCAGCTGCAGTTTGCAGAGGTGGCTGCCGTTGCCCTCCTCCAGGGGCCTTTTCCTCTTCACGCCTGGCGGCCCGCTGCGGACCCTGTCGCCCTGGGGCAGCGGCCCCGCCTCCAGGTTGCTCACGTTGCGGTTTTCCTTCACGTCTGCGCTGCTGGTACCTGCAGGTGAGAACAGACAGCCGTGACCCAGGGCGCCGGCAGCTCGCCGCTGGTGACAGATACTACTGGGGATGACCGCACTGCGACCCTGACCTCGGCGCCAGCCCTAGCCGCCAGCGCAGCCAACCAGGCTCACGAGTCGGGCTCCCCAGCTGGCGCCCACAGGAAGGGGACAGAGAAGTTACTATGGACCCGTGAAAGTGGGGCCCAACGCCCAGAAGGAGGAAGGACAGGCAGTCCTGAGCGGTTCCTGGAGAAGAGAGTGGGGAGTGGACGGGGATGAAGGTCGTGTCCCACTGGCACTGCTCCCACCTGTGGCTCTGAGTGTCACAGTGACACCACGGTGCTGAGCCCAGGCACCCTGCCCTCCTCCCAAAGCTGCCCCCCAAACCGGATGAACGCGCACCCCCTCTCTATCTATGGCTCTGGGCAGTGCTGAGGGTCAGGGCGGCCTTCCCTGCGTGCAGGACGGTAATAAATTGTGGGGACATCACACACGCATCGCTGCCCGGCACTTATACACTTAATGAACCAGATCTGCGCGCTTCAATGTGGGTGAATCTCCGAAATACAATGTCAGAGGACAAAAGCAACTTGCAGAGTCCACAGAGCACGGGGAATCAATGGTGTGAAGTATAAACACAGACTCCACGTATCTGCGGGTGCTCTGACACACGGAGAAGCCGACATCCACCGGCCCCGAGCTGAGGAGGCGGATGGGTCGCGGGTGGGCACGATGGCTTCACTTGCATCCGGTATGTTTTATTTCTTGTGCAAGAAAGGAACAGAAGTAAATTCAGCAAAACTATCATTTGCTAACTGTGGGTGGTGGGTGCGTGTAACGATGATTTAACTTTTCTGGACTGGCCGTCTTGGGCCTCTCTGCCGGTAAAGCGGCTCCATTTAGAAAACCTCGGCCGTGGAGCGTCCCCCTGGCCACAGGCGAGGCCCTGTTGGCTCTGCTGGCGAATGTGTGTCTGGAAGGCTAACCCTCAGTTTCCTGGGGACCCTCTGAAGAGGACGATGCTGAGACCCTTGGACCCTCACATTGGAACCTTCCCTGCTCCTCAGACCCGCTCTGGGTGGGGGTGGCACCACCTTCTTCCAGGAGAGCACCCGAGGCCCGAGGGGCTGCGGGGTTGCCCCGAGGTCAGGCGGAGGTTAAGCAGTAGAAATGGGATTGCATCCTGGTATGTTTGCTGTCGTGTGAAGGTGATTTTATGGAAACGAATGGTTCCGTCCTTTTCTTGGTCATTTCCAGGGACACCCTATTCTGGGCTCCGGGGAGAGAATGAGGACACCGAGCATCAGCTGCCATCAGCGTTTGGATGGACGAGGGAGCTGAGACAGCTGGGCCGGGCCCGGCCAGCCAGGACCACCACAGACGACCCTTTAAGGCCTCCGGTTTCTCCGTGGGAACCCTGAGTCACGGGCTCTGGGGCGGCTCTGTGCAGATTGTGAGTTTTTTTCTTGCTAAACAAGTGGGAACTGGAGGTGATTTTTACAGCTGGCCCACAGCCTAGAATGGATATGAGTGCTGGTCCTCCTTGCTCCCTGAAGTCAAGCAGCGGGGAGACCCGGCCCACTCGCCTCTCAGGGCGGCTGCTGGGGAATAAGAGCAGAAAGGCACAGTTTCACGGCACAGAGGCGCCTGGGAGAGGTGCCCTCCGCTGGAGATCGCTCTGTCTAGGTCTCACGGCTCTGTGGCCTCCAGCTCTGGGTGCGCCCTTCCCACCACCATCTCCTCTGGAGGGAAGGGCCCGCCGGGAGGGTGTGCCCGTTGGAACCTCCAGCCTCTGATTTGAAAGTGTCCTCTGTTTGCTGAAACCTCGGCTGCTCACGAGGGTAGTTCTTTCAGCTACGAGGTGATTCTGCTGGTGTTTTCTCCAGCAGTTTGCTTCCATAAAATATTAGGTTGGCAGAGGTAATTTTGTTCAAGAGCATGAACCTGGGTTTTATAAGTGAGAGGTGGAAGACATTCATTTATGGTTGATTTTAGTAGAAATAATTACCTTCCACATATCAAGTACTGAATGAGTCCCAGCCTCTCTTGCTCATCGTTCTCGGTCTTGGGCATGCACACAGCACAGAGATGTGTCATTCAGGGTCCGAGATTTGGGGTGAGGGTAGCAGAGCAGATTCACCACGCGGTTTCCCAAATTGAACATAAAGATGGAAAAAAAATAACATGCCAACCCCAAAGCCACATGCCAGATTGCCTAGAAATTGCTGGAGCTCTCTAATTTCTTATCGATTTCTCGCAGCGTGGGGATTGAGCGAGCCTGTCGTGTGATTAAAGTGGCCGGTGTATGGATGACCTCGGCTGCCTTTCGAGGTGGAAGGTTTATCTTGGAGAAACAGCCGATGCCTCCCCGACCTGCGCTGAACTCACCTCCGCGCTCTCCTCTCCCACAACTTGCCATGTCCCATGACCATCGTTACGACAGTTTGCCACGGCACGAGCCACAGTGGTCAGAGTGTGGCATGAAGACCCCTCCGATCATAATCATCGATTAATAATAATTGATACAAAAGCAGGTTTCCGGGCCTTATCCAACTGTGTTTTGTCCTGTCTCTGGTGGGCTCCGCCTTCTTTCTGGAAGTCGGCTCCAGGCCCCACGGACAGTGTGAGTGCTGGCTTGTCGTCTCTGCAGTGTGGGCGGGTGCTGGGTGCTGGCGCCGAGCTTTGCTCGAACGGAACAGCCACCCTGAGCTTCGGTGAGAATCCGTGGAGATAACGTAGGAAGACTTCGTTCGGGATCTGTAGACTTGGCAGGCTCTGGACTGAGCGCCTCCTTGCTATGATGACTGACCCCGCCCCAAAGAGGGAGGAGGCTCCGAGCCTGTGAGGGGCGGGAGAGGAGAGGGTGGGCCCCGGGCTGCAGGGCCTGATTACACACAAGATTCCTTACTATTCCTTGTACCCTTGGCACAGGTCGAACGGACTGTTCACACCAGGATGTAAGAAGAAGTGGTCCTTAATTCCACTCTGGAATTCCTTCTCCAGATAACATTCCCCCAGTCACAGCTCGGAGACTGCAGTATGTGAAGCTGGAGTCGCTCTGCCAGACTCGCCTTCTCATGTGAATGACCAGACACCTGCACGTAAAGGTTCGTCTAAGGGTTCACCTTTCCCCCACTAGCACTGTCTCTCTGTCTGCCCGTCTGTCCCTCTGTCTGTCTCTGTCTGTGCTCACACAGCCCTGGGACCTCAGCCCTGCAGGGGAATTCCAGGAAGTGGAGAGGGAGCAGAGTGGTGTGCTGGGTTTGGGGGCCCATGGCAGCTCCCCCAACTCCATCTGGGGCTCACGTCGTGTTCTTTCCTCCTTGGAAAATTTCTGCCTTGGATCCCAAATGCCTTCCCTCAATGAAGCCCACTCTTGAGGAAGCCGTGTGCACCTCCTGTGGGCACGTACCCCGTGCCCGCGCTGGCGTGTTGCTGCGTGGCACACGGCAAGTCCCCTGACCTCGACTGTCTAACAAGAGGCGTCTGTGGGCTGCGACCTTTACGAGTCCTCTGCGGACAGCACTGGGTTTTCAGACGGTTGCATGTGTCCTTCTATTGTGGAAACTGGAAAAAAGCAGACAAGTGACTTCCTGTCCCATTGGACAAGAGCCACAGGTGCAGTGAGGGGACAATCCCCATGGATCCGAAGGCTGCCAGGCACCAGGAGAATGTCCGAGTCAGAGAGACACGTGGAAGGGAAGGTACACGAAATCAGTTCCATTCTGCTTTTCTCACACATGCGTCGTCTCTTGAGCCCCGTCTCTTTTTTGACAAAAAGTGTCAGCAGATGCAGGGCCACATCTGAAGTTCCAGCGCATAAAAGAATTGCATTTTGGGGAGAAAGAGCAGAATTTTATATTGGCACGGGTGTGGCTAAACTTTCATCTTCTGGGTGAAATGCATTCCTTCAGAGTTGAGTTCTAGGCTGCTTTGTGCATCGGCTGTCACCTCCTGGGGATTGTCGTTCTGCTGGAAGTGTGGGTGTCTGTCCCTGCCTGTGTGCACGTATGTGCGTCTCCTTCTCCCACTGACTCCCTCCCGGGGCCAGCGTTGTCTGGTCGTTATGCAGCCAGACGTCTCGAAGTTGTCACATCATTAAAGATTTTCAGCACTGCATCGCTAATAATGACACTGCGGTGTCTGCAGGTGGCAGGGGGCCAGACAACCCCCCATCCAGAGAAGCAGCTGTGTGGCCTGCCACGTCCACATCAGCCAGTGCCAGCTGACAGGAGCAGGTCTCTGTTCACACGGGGAGGAGGTCTTGCTGCTTTGGGCGTTGGAAGGGGTATGGAAGGGGTGCTGGGGCACAGGGAGGTGCCAGCCGCACAGGCCTGCTGACTCAGTTACAGAAGGCTCCTGGTCCTGGTCCTGGCATTACCGGTGATGCACAGGCCTCACGGCAGTGGCTCTCGGATCAGGCTTGGCATCAGGCGGAAGATGGCTTCCTTGCAAAGGCTTGTCACACACCATCCCGGAGCTGTGCCTGCGACGCACCTGGCTGAGGGTCGAGTGGGCGGGCCTCCCTCCCTCTGGACCTGTGCAAACAGCGTGGACTTGGCAGTCCTGTGGCCCTAGCTGGGAGTGGCTCTTCAGCCCCTCCTCGTGACCCCTGGGTCAGTAGTAGCCACAGACAGGGTGGGGCTCGGCAGTGATTCACTCTTCCTGATGTTCAGAGAAGAAAGCTTTCAGAGTTACCCGAAGTCTTAAAAATGTGGCATTGTCCCCGAGACTCAGCCAAACCCACCCTACTGATGGCTGATCCAGCTGGGCTGACAGGCACCGCCTTCTCTCAGCCAGAGTCTCTGTCCAGTGCTGACCCCCGATCCCAGCCCAGCCCTTGAGACCAGGGGCTCAAGCTCCAGGGACAAGTGAGTGTTGACAGCTAGGGCCGTGGGGCCGTGGGGCGAGCATGGCGATGTCCTGAACCGTGAAACTCCATCCGTGGGCAGGGTCAACGGGCCTTCATGTGACACCAACCCAGGTGTTCCCATGCACAGGGTTATGAATAAAATGAAAATGGGACACTCCAAAGCAGGCCTATGTTTGCATCTACCTGCACACAAGCATATACACAACACATACCACACACAGCATACACACACACACAAAGAGAACATAGATCACACATACAACACACACACACACAGAACATAGATCACACACCACACGCACAACATACATACATCACACATATAACACGTATCATGCATCACACACGTCACACACACAGCCTGCACGCACACACACACACACGTCACACATACATCCCTGTAGGGGAGCTTCCCTCCCTCCTTTTCTATCGTCGGGTGGCATTTGGGCAAAAACAGCCAGGGCCACATCGGCAGTACTTGTGTTAAGTATCAAGCCAAGTGCATTAATTTGGGGGTTTATCTTTGGACAATCTATGAGAACGAGGTTTTCTAAGTGAATCAAGAGTGTGCATTACAAAGGGGGATGACTAATCCACTGATAGAAAATAAGATTTTCCAAGTATTTCAAAGGCATTTTAACATGTAACAAACAATTAAAAGTCCTTCTTAGCTGTAAGTTTCTACCTTGTAGCCAGTGAGCTGAGTTGGGGAAACAGCCTTAATTGTAGGTATTAGTTGCCTGGATGGAGTGCCTGCCTGCTCCAGGGCCAGCCTGAACCATCTTCGCGCGTTATCCAGCTTGATTATGACCTCGGCTCCATGATTGAGGTCACGGTACTCTCCCTGTCTCATGGACAATGAGGCACTGACCTCAGAATGTGGAGGTTCGTGGCCCGTGGTTGGGGTTGGGGTCAGAGCAGGAGATCCCATGGGAAGGTCTGGCCCCTCTGGGCTTCTGTGTTCCTAATTGTCCCCGCATCAGAAGCTGTGCTATTGGAAGAGGAGGAGAGGCTCCCATATGGGAGTCTAGACTCACCCGGAGTCCAACAGCTTGAGGTGGGAAGAGGAGGAAACAGTCAGGTTTTATTCCTCAAGGCATTTATTCCATGCGTGTTATCAAATAACACGTTTGTCCACATGTCCAGTCCAGCTTGGGGCTTGTGTGTCTGTGTGTGTGCGTGCAGGCTGTGTACGTGCTTTTACATGTGTATATATCTGTGTGTGTGTGTGTGTGTGCGTGCAGGCTGTGTACGTGCTTTTACATGTGTATATATCTGTGTGTGTGTGTGTGTGTGCGTGCAGGCTGTGTACGTGCTTTCATATGTGTATATATCTGTGTGTGTGTGTGTGTGTGTGTGTGTGTGTGTGCAGGCTGTGTACGTGCTTTTACATGTGTATATATCTGTGTGTGTGTGTGTGTGTGTGTGTGCAGGCTGTGTACATGCTTTTTATATGTGTATATATCTGTGTGTGTGTGTGTGTGTATATATCTGTGTGTGTGTGTGTATATATCTGTGTGTGTGTGTGTGTGTGCGTGCAGGCTGTGTACGTGCTTTCATATGTGTATATATCTGTGCGTGTGTGTGTGTGCAGGCTGTGTACGTGCTTTTACATGTGTATATATCTGTGTGTGTGTGTGTGTGTGTGTATTCCAGATTTCTGAAGTAGCTCTCCATGAACTAAGTCCTAAACTTTGCAGTTTGGACCATGAGAAGACAGAAAGCACCGTCTGTCAAGGTTTCACTGGACCACGTGCTGTGTTGAGGAAGGAGAACCACGTTCTGACCCCACGTGGACTTTCCCCTCACCCTCTCTGCCTTTGCTTCCTCATCGGGGAATGGGGCATCAAGCTGGAACATCCCCAAGGTTTGCTCGCTTCTGACATTCGGTGATTTCATGACTTTGCTTTTGTGGAATAAGCCAGGGTTATAACCTCAGTTTCCCGTCTTGTTGATAATTATGTTGTCTGGGAAGGGAATGTGTTGTGTTTCTTAAAAGCTGATGGCAAAATGGACAATATTTCCACTGTTGCTTCTTGGTCAAAACAACGATGCTAGCGACCACCAGTAGACATCTGCCACCTCCCCGTCCCGGGACAGCCAGCACGTCCTTAACTCCCTTTGGTGGAAAAGGTGAACCATCTGTTAGGTGACGTGGAAATGCACGAGGAGTCCACGTGGTCCCAAATGCCTCATCCCCCTCGTTTAAAAGCTTGGCAACGTGTTCCACCCAGAGGAGCTGTGACGCATGCCAGACACGCCCAGGACTCTCTCCCGCACACACACCAGCCCTGTCTCCTCCGGGGTCTCCTCAGACTCTGAGCAGGGGAAGCTGTTCAGATCCCCTCCCTCAAAACAGGATTTTCTGTCCCCACACCACACTGCCTTGGTGTCTCTCCAGTTTCAAGTGCCAGAAGTGCTGCCTCCACAGGCGGGCACCCATCCAGCTCTCTCCTTGTTAAATGATTGTACAAACTGTTCAGAGAGACTGTGCTCATTTTTCTTATTCCTTTGCTTTTGGGTTTGGAGGGGAAAACAAAGGGAAGAGAGGACGGATAGTGCCAGGAAACTTTTTTTCTACAGTCCCTGGAGTTCTCAATCACACGGTTACTGCCAATATTTTCCTACCACTCAGGTGAGGACGGGATTCCAGGCGGGGATGGGATTCCAGGCAGGGATGGGTTTCCAGGTGGAGAAGGGATTCTGGGTGGGGAAGGGATTCCGGGGGGGAAGGATTCTGGGTGGGGAAGGGCTTCCGGGTGGAGAAGGGATTCCAGGTAGGGAAGGGATTCCGGGGGGAGGGGGGATGGGATTCCGGGTGGAGAAGGGATTCGGGGGGGGGGGGGAAGGGATTCCGGGTGGAGAAGGGATTTCGGGTGGGGATGGGATTTCACGGGGGGATGGGATTCCGGGTGGAGAAGGGATTCCGGGTGGGGATGGGATTCCGGGTGGGGATGGGTTTCCAGGTAGGGATAGCATTCCAGGTGGGGCTGGGATCTGCTTACTGAGAGTGTCTTCATCCTCGGTGTTTGTGGCCCCGGGGCTTAAGTGCTTGAAGGGAGCGATGAAGGCTGACAACATGCTTACTTTGTCTGGAAAGAAAAGAAGAAGAGGAAACGCACTTTTGACATCAAGTTTCAGAAAAACTCAGCGCTTTTATGTGTTCTTATTACCAAGAGTGTGGACAAGGGAGGTTGAAAGGTCACTTTGGTTGCAGCCGCTTCATTCTGGTTCAGTCTTTTATTGCATTTCTGACAGCATTTTATCAAACTCCCCTCTCCCTTCAATTTTAAACTTCATGATTTCCATCTTCCTTCTTTTCTTATTTTTGGCATCTCCCCTCCTCTAGTTCCTTGTCCCTCAAAACCTGGGGTCATCATCTTGGGTCAACCACCTTGCTTAAGCGTACAGGATGCTGGATGGGCAGAGCCTGCAGACGGGGGTCATTTCACAGACAGGAACTAAGGCAAGTAGAAAATTCTGCAGTTAAACGAGAATCGTGCAAATAAAGCCAAGACTGTTTTTCCCATTAGTGGAGAACTTGCTTTGTGGGCTTCCAGTGCATGAAAAAGTAGAATGATCAAAACTGTAAAATCTCCTTAGTGCATGTTTGAGCAGAAGGAGTAGGGGGGGGGAGGAGGAATGTCTGGTGGAGAAGGAGCTGAGGGCCCTGAGCGCTTCTTCCCGGTAAAGGGACGTACAATTGAAGCAGGGAAAGGAGTCCTGGGGCGGGTGCCTTCTGCCTGCATCCCCTGTAGAGGGTAAGTAGAGGCAGGAGCACTCTGGTGTCCTGGGTGCCAGACCAGCCCAGGGTGGGAAATGGACCTGTGTGGGAAGTGCCACTTGTGACCATGGTCTCAGCAGTTTCTCTCTTAAACAGAGAGATTAAGGAATTGTAGGTCGGAAGTATAATCGGGAGAAATGAAAAAATGACTAATAAAGGGAGTTGAAAGAAAAGCTCCTTGTTTTAGAGATTCCACAGACTGAATTGAACCACGGAAGTTAGGAGTGCTTGTGTCCGAGCAGAACTTCCTCGAGGGCAGACGAGAGCCTGCCTGGGACACACCACATGGAGCCCGCGCTCAGTCCCAGATCCCCGCCTCTCACGTCCTCATGCCCTGCAAGGCTGAGCAATTTGTTATATGCCACGTGCATCTTGACCACATTATTAAAAGCCACAGCTGGAAATGTCGCCATGCTTGTCCACCGTGGTCCGGGGAGGGGGCAGCAGGGTCATTTCCTACAGCTCCTGCAGGTTAGGCTGCCCAAGACCGTGGTCGCCAGCGGTTTAGCCACTTGGCCACATGGCCCCTTTGTCTCCCCTTGGGAAGCTGTCGACACCTGAGAGTGGGGTGTGTAGTGCGGCTCCTGTTTGCATCTTGCTGCTGTTGTCTGCTTCTGTCGTCAGAGAGGAAGACTGTTGCTGTGGCCCCCTTTTGGCGCACGTCTAGGCGCAATTTCTTGTGGAAACCTTAACTAGCGGTTTTATGTGCCGTTAGCCTGCAGGCGTCCAGCCCTGGGCCTGGACCTTGCTCTTTCTCTTTCCACACTGAGCCTGCTTTCTCTTTAGCCAAGCTTTCCAGAGGCCAGGGGAGTTCACACTGAAATTCATTCAGGAGCCTGTTAACAGCCGTTGTTTCCAGTAGGGACGGGCAACAATATAATGTTCACTCAAAGAGAGCAATAAATAACTCAGATACAAAGCGCCTGCTCGTTCTTCATTCCACCGAACAAGAAGAATAAGCCCAGGGAAGCTGGCTCTCCCCGAACCCTCACAGCCCAAGCTAATTTACTGCAAGGGAATGAAATCTCTTGCTTGAGTTATAATTTCATTAAGGCAGCCCAATAATGTTACACAGGGAGTGTAGAGCTCACATGATTTAGTCTGGAGCATCGCAAAATGAAATTACAATTTTGTAATAAAGCAGGGCTACCGGCCAAACACCCACAAAAATACACTAAACCATTGCAGAGCTCACCTTAGCGAAACTGTGAAATATTTAAAGATTGTTTTAGGTCCACCAAAGCTCTCGCTTTCTAGGGTTGCCAGAATTATCAAGTGAAAACACAAGACAACTACTTAAAACTGAGTCTCAGATAAACCACAGATACTTTTTTAGTATACATACATTTGTAATATTGTGTGGAACATACATATACTGAAAAAATTATTTGTTGTTTATCTGAAATTCAGAATTAGGGCAAAGCACTTGAATAGACATTTCTCCAAAGAAGATGTACAAATGGCGAATAGGCACGTGAAAAGATGCTCAACATCACCAGTCATTAGGGAAATGATGGGCAAAACTACAGTGAGATACCACTCACACCCATCAGCATGGCTGTTATAAAAAAGGAAAAAAACTAGAAAATAACAAGTGTTGGTGAGGATATGGAGAAACTGGAACTCTCGTGTACTTTTGGTGGGAATGTGAAATGATGCAGCCATGATGGAACCAGCAATTCCACTTCTAGGTATTTACCAAAAGAATTGAAAGCAGAGTCTCAAAGAGATATATGTACACCCGTGTTCATAGCAGCATTATTTACGAGAGCTAAAACATGGAAGCAACTCAGATGTCCATCGATGGGTGAATGGATAAGCAAAATGTGGTATAAACATGCCATGGAATATTATTCAGCCTTAAAAATGAAGGAAAGTCTGCAATATGCTGCAACATGAAGGAACCTTGAGGACATTATGCTGAGAGAAATCAGTCAGTCACAAAAAGACAAGGACTGTATGATTCCATTTATATGGGGTCCCAGAGCTGTCAAATTCATAGAGACAGAAAGTGGAATAGTGGTTGCCAGGGGTTGAGGGAGGGGAGCTGGGGAATTAGTGTTTAATGGGGGCAGAGCTTCAGTTTTGCAAGACGAAAAGTATTGTGTGGATGGATGGTGGTGGCGGTCGCACAGCAGTGTGGATGTGCTTAATGCCTCTGAACTGTCTGCTTAAAAGTGGTTGTGATGGTAAATTTTATGTTACATATATTGTACCACAATTTAAAAAACGAAAAATAATTCAGAGTTAACTGGAGTCGTCCTGTATTTCGTCTGGTAGCCCCGCGTCTTTGTCTCTGGTAACCCGTCCAAGTCCTCTAGTGCAGTGGAGTTCAGATTTCACGGGCTGGCTTAAACAAACCAGGAAACCACAGAGTTGCTAACTTCTGCTGCTCATTATGTTCATCTGAGACCCCAGGTCTTCTCCACTGCTGCCCTTGCTTCATAAAAGAAAACTAGCTAACCCTGAAAGCACGTAAGCTCTGCGTGAGAAATAATTGTTCCTCAGAAAGGACAGACCACACCTTTAGAATGTCGTTAGAAAAGAGGGTGGGGAAATGCATTTATTATTTAGAAAAATTACAACAAAATTTATTTGATGTCCTGCCTTTCTTTGCAGTTGTTTCCTTGATACTTGGCGTCTGCATTCAGTTCATTCCATGGCAGCAGAGCTGCAATATCCAACTAGTTCTAGTCTTTGTGTATCAGTCATCTGTTGAAGGTTTGGTTTCATGCAGTTTACTGATGAAAAATGGAGGCCGTAGTTTTACTTTACTCAATTCCGGACGTTTTGGGTATGCTGAGAGAAGCTGCTTAACAGAATTCTCCACAATTTCTGCTGCCTCCCCGCCCTCTCCTTGTACAGTCTGCAAGAAGAAGGTGTTTCTCCAAAGAAGGTGGCTGGAAGGGAGGTGCTCCCTGCCCTCAGCCCTTTGCATCTTTGCCCAGCTCAGGCCCAGAGCATCTGACGTGAACCAGCCTGAAAGTGAGCCCAGAGAGATGCAGCCAGCCTGGACTGGCCCTGGTGTGGGCGCGGGCCTGGTGCCATCCTCCAATCAGGGGTCGCTTTCAGTATAGGTCTGTTTGCCCTTAGTCATGGCTCAGCATGCCATGTTTAATGCATTACTTGAAATGATCCAGGGCATTTGCATTATAAACCTTATTACACTGTAAAATAAATGACTTTGGCTCTTGTTGAAGTGATTTCATATATTTTTGGAGCATGTGGGGAAGCATTTTCAGGGTCAGAAGCCCTTCCCTGGAACCATATGCGATCTCATTGGTTGAGAATACTGATAACGAAGAACAAATACAAGAGGGTAAGGGCATAAACACAGATAAATAGACCAATGGACCAAATAGAGAATTCGGAAATGGAATCATACCTGTATGATCAACTGATTTTCAACAAAGATCTAAAGGAATACAGTGGGGTAAATAAAGTGTTTTAAACAAATCATGCTGAAAAAACTGTACAACATCTTGGAAAAAATGAATTTTGAGCTCCATCTCATACCATTGTGAAAAGTATCAGAAAATGGATCATAAACCTAAACGTAAAAGCTAAAACTATAAAACCTGTAAGAAGGAAATATAAGAGGCTGTTTGCATGGTCTTCATCTAGGCAGATTTCTTAGACAGGACATAGAAAGCACTAATTATAAGAGAAAATAATTAGTTCTCATCAAAATAAAAATTTCAGCTCACTTAAATACACCGTTAAGAAAACAAAACGCAAACCACAGATTGGGATAATATATTTACAATCAAGACAGCTGTTTGTTACCAGAATATAAGAACTCTTGCAAATGAATAATAAAGAACAAAAAAATCCAAATTGAAAAAAATGGGCAAAATAACTGAACAGAAACTTGACAAAGGAAAATATGCTATAGGCAGTCAGCACATCGGAAGGTGCCCAACAGTGTCGCACGTTGGGGAGGTGCAAATTAAAGCCACGAGACATCACACACACCCATTAGAACATCCAAAACTAACAAGATTGATGATGCAAATGTGAGCAGAGAGGAAAATGTTTGGCTGTTAAATATTCACCTATTCTATGAGCACCAATTCCAGTTGCAGATATTTAGGCAAATGAAATATATGAGTTCAAAAAAAGACTTGAGCAAGAATGTTGAGAGAAATTTTATTCATCGAAGCTCAAAATTGCAAGCATCCCAAGTGGCCATTGACAGAAGAGTAGAAAAACGAATTGTGTTACATTTATACAATGGGATACTTTCCACAATAAAAAAGATGGAAGTATTAAAATATATTATGATATGGATGGATCTCTAAAATGTGTTGAGTGAAAAAAGCCAGGCACAAAAGAGAATGTGCTATGTAATTCCATTTATACACAGTGCCAGAACGGCAGAACTACTCCCTGGTGAAAGAAATCAGGCAGCGAGTTGCCCCTGAGGGCCAGGTGCAGACTGGCTGGGAAGGGCGCAGGCATCTCTCTGTCATGATGAAACGTCTGTATTCAGATCGAGATATGTGCCTCACGTGTGTATGCATTTGCCATTGAACTGTAACATGCAGTTTGTACGTTTTTCTGTACGTAAATTATACTTCAATTGTTTAAAAGTATTAAAAGATAAAAAACATGACTCGACAAGAAAGTCAGTCATGTGAAGCAAACATCGAAGTATTATTTAATCTAGAAAGGGAAAGTGGAAGATGGAACAAAATGTCACTTAATCTGTACAAAAGAAAACGTAGGATGTTGGATGTTAAAGAGACATGTCTACCAGGAGAGAGTAAATCGTATATGCAGTCATGTCCCCACTTATAGGGACTTGGGTGTTTCTTTAATTTTATTTTATAGATTTGAAAGTGCAAATATATTAAAAAGGCTTTGACGTTGCAACGAGAAAAATGACCAGCTCAAAGATAAAGCCGTTTGGTGACATCTTGGGATTCATATCAAGATGACTGTATGTATGAAAACAAGGGGAGACGTGAGGAGGGAGAGTGGAGATGGAGCCACAGGAAGTGGAAGGATGGATCAGAATCAACACGGTGTGCCCAGCCACACGCCTCGGTGGTCCCGGAAGACTCAGTTCACCCGCAACGGTGACCCGAGGAGCTCTGAAAAGGTCAATATTTTTGGAGTCTATTTTTTGTTTTGTTTATAAACAATTTATGAAACAATTTTTACCAACTAAGATGAAAATTAAAAAAAATCCTCTGTTGCATGCGCACATGTCAGTTATCAGAAAATCCATTCATGTGGCATAATACGTTTGCTGGAACTTTTGATAAAAACTATAATTGCTAAAATGCCTAGGAATTTGATCTTATCCTTTGCTTCCTGAAAGGCCCTAAATATTTCTTGGTATAGCTTGTTTTAAAAAATTACATAAATTGTGCCCTTCGGTTCTGTCCTTATTTCAACAATTTGAAGTGAGGTGTCATACTTGGGTCTTCCGCTTTTGTGGGCCACACACACGCCCGCCTCCGGCAGAGCCAGCGCTGTTGGACAATGACATAACTAGAAGACACGGTGACAGTTGGAGCCACAGAACTCTGCAGGGACCTTCAGGCTACAAACCTCAGCTCTCTAAGTTCCCTTCTTATGTTTTCTTATTGCCGAAGCGCACTCTGACAGATGGCCTCCCTCAAGCCTGACCCACTTTTCATAGCCCTATATCCTTCTCGAGTATGGGGCTGTCTTTAATAGATGCTGCTTCCATCCACACACAAATGCAAATCAGTTTGAACAGGTGGGCTACCCTGAGAAGTAAGAACATCCACGCAGGGAGGAGACAGGAGTAACGTTCTGGAGCAAAGGCAAAGAATTCTTCTCACAGATTTTCAGGAACACATATTTCAAAACACCATTTCAAGCTACCATCCTGTGAACAACATGAGGGAGTTCAGTTTTTTTAAAAAAGATTCTGGGTCTGCACTGATTTAACACACAAGAAGGTTTGATTCTCACAAGAAGGTGAGGATCTCTCCTGGCAATTTCCAGATGACACTCATGGGTGGCCTCGAACGGGTCCAAGTAAACAGGTGGCCAGCCTGCAGTGTGTTACTCACTCATTGTATGGGCTGAATTGTGTCCTCTCCCCAAATACAAGTTCAAGTCCTAACCTCCAGGACCTCAGAATGTGGCTGTATTTGGAGGCGGGGCCTTTTAAGAGGTGATTAAGATAAAATGAGGTCATTGGGGTGGCCCTAATCCAATAGGACTGATGTCCTTATAAGAAGAGATTAGGACACAGAAACGCAGAGGGAAGATCACGTGAGGACACAGGGAGGAGACGGCCGGCCGTCTACACACCCAGGAGAGAGGCCTCAGGAGGAGCCAGCCTGCCTCCAGGGCCTCGGACGTCCAGCCTCCAGGACGGTGAGAAAG